ACTTTTTTCTTTTCTTAGCGTTTTTTCTTAGCGCTAGACTCATGTTGGTGTCATTTTTTTAAATAATAGTTTTATTTCAAGAGTATTCTTTTTATTTTGGCTATAGTAGAATACATTTAAAGATATACTAACCCTCGAAATAGTATGCTGAGAATTGTACCCCAAAAAGTAAGTAGCTGTACCTTAAAGGATGAAAAAAGACAAAGAAAGCTGTGCCTACTTCATGGATTAGGATTAGAGGATGGAAAACAAGCAGATAAAAGTATTTTAGCTGGGGCACTTAACAAGAGCGCTTAAATGGCTTAAAGTTAGAAAGTTGGAATTGGCCTGATTCAATCTAGAAACAAGCTAGAAACCTGATTTATAGAATTTTGTTTCCCCGAAAACCTTTACACTTTTATTGAATACATTTTGTTTCATTTTCCGAAAACACGTTACGGTTTTTTCATTACACCATTTATTGTTTTACTATTTTGACATATTGACAAGTTATACTTTTCCCGTTTTTTATTTCCCCAATAAACTGTTTCACCTATGTATCTCAATGAATATTTTTATTTTGTAAAAAAACGATATACATGATAAATTTTTGTAATATTATTTCTGATTACATATATTAAAAGTATTAGAACGTGTCGCAAAATACAACTCGTCAAAAGAATACGTATATATAATAATTATTCTAATAATAGGGTTTCGGACAAATTATACTTCTGCTGTGAGACATTTCTATGTTGCAAATTTATACCAAAACTGTCATGGCACTAGTGAAAAAAAGTCGAACCGTTTTCGGAGTGATGGAATTCGGATAAAAGAAATTCGAGTTTGTGATACCCTAGTAGACACGCATGCAAGTAATTCATCCCTCACTGTTTAAATCATAATTTCCCAAAGTGGGCCCTGGTTTGAAGAGTTTTAGGGTAGTAGTTTCGGAAGCAATTGGGAGGCGTTGATGCTGTCTGAATTATCTATAAAACCCTGAATTATCTATATTAAACTGCACTACAAATACATTTTTTTTCTTGTCATTTTTTTTTGGGATAGGTTAATAAAAAAAATATGTGTTTTCGATTATTTTTTGTGGTGGCGGGCGTTGAAAAATTTGTATTGCCTAAGTGAGCGTTGAGCCGAAAACTTTGGGAACCTATGGTTTATATTGTTTATATGTAATACATGTGATTATGACATTGACTTACAATTATATGGACGTCGGGTCCGCGCTAAAAAGTGTCCGAACTTATAGGGCGTTAAAATCGTATACAGAGCGTCATTCACGTTTTAGTCTTCGTTTGTTCGACTGACAGCGAAGCAAGCAAAATTAGACAGTACTGCGATGACATTACAATTTAAATTCAAAGTTTTAGCTTTTTCATATTGCTTTACATGTCACTACGTTTAAATAGGTTGACTTGGGACATTTTTTTCGTGGTTTTTGTATTAGACCCGTCGTCCATTTATTTGTAAGTCAATGGATTATGACTACAATGTCAGTGCGGCTGCCACTGATCGCCTAACCTGTCTGGTGCGGCCATCTATTAAGCCACGTAGCGGCGTTTCGCTGGGTTCTCGCTTTTGCAATGCGGCCACCTATTTTTTCGCGTCGCCGCCGCCGCCGCTTCGCTGTCGCCGTACCAGTGCGGCCCCGACCTTAGACATTTTATTTCCATTTTGTACATTGACCTACCAATGTTTTGTAGCTTTTTTTTATTTATTTATTCAAGAAACAAGCAGTCGATATAAAACTATTACTAAATTAACGAATATATATAAAGGCGACATAGAGTTTCCTTAATTTATAATGCAGTTGAAATCTTAAAAACTATCTATATTGAACAAATTATAGTAAGGCTTTAAATTTAGGTAAAGAATTACAGAAAATATCCACATCCATGAACCTGCTGATGTACATATGTCTGACTTGATCGCCTAATAAAGCTATTGCCAACGAAACATTTCCGCGACCTCTTAATTGAGAAAAGTGTATTCCTACGGCAAGATCTTTCAATTTGGCGGGGTACTCTGAAATCTATAAGATTCAGTAGCGATGTCGAATCAATTTCATTATTTACTATTTTATATAAACTGACAGTATCTATGTAATCACGACGACTCTTGAGAAACTTGATTCTATGTCTATCCACAGAATGCTCATAATCAATATAATCATGACCAGTCCTACTGCCTGAACAAATTTCTTCTGTACTCTTTCAATTTTGTCTATGTGGGTGTTATAGAAACAGCACAGGCGACTGCAGAGGCTCTAATCGACTACGAACAAAGCTATTAAATAAAAGTTTATATGTAAAAGGACTTTTGAAGGGCGTTCCCATACGTAGGAGCTCCTGTCCCGAGCTGTTTATAAGACTTGGAAAGTATGTTATCTATATGCGGTATAAACGTAGGCTTTGAGTCCAAAATGACGCCCAAGTCACGAATTTGACCGTCCACTCTTCATCCGGTATGTTAAAATCACCTAACAATAGAAACGAATCGCCGGGTCGATCATTAATAAGTTGACTAGCAATATCAAAGAAAGATATTAGGGCCTCGCGATGAGCAGGGCCGCTAGGAGTGTATAAGCACAGAATAAAGAATAGAGAAAGGACACTCTCCGCCCCTCCTTAGTTTTAGAAACCGCACCACGCCCCGCACATTGCCGGTCATATTGACTGAACGACAACAAGGCTGCCGGCGAGCCGTTTTCGCGCGAAGACGGCTTTGATATTTGAATATAGTTTTCATGTATTCATTACGAAACGTTAATATAAAACATAATTTTACGTTACTATTTATAATGGTCGTGAATTGTGCTGTGTACGGCTGTTTATCGTTATTTTCCGAAAGATGAAACGAAGTAAGTAAAAAAAACATATCTGAGACTCATTCAGTTATTATTTTCTTCTTTTATTTACTGCAGAGTAATATAATATATTATGTATAAAAAATACAGATTTATTATATCAATATAATGAGACGCCATGACTTCGCGATTTCTATTCGTATTGCCGATAAATATTACGTAGGTAGTGAATATATCTAATTATTAACTAAACTTGGACAAGCAATTTCAAATACCTTGGTTACCTTACTAAAAAGTACATGTCCGAAATATAACATTTTAAGTGCTTTTAATATATTTTTGAAATAAATCTTCAATATTACTCTAGTTAGTGAATTAATGAAAAATATACTATATAATGTCGATATAAATACCTAATAGATAAGTACAGTTATTAGGAGTCTATTAATAGAATCATAGAAAACAGATACGCGTCAGAATTTTCAATCAGAAGCGAATTCACTAGAAACGCCGCGACTCGTAGCCCTCGGGTAAGGTCTTTGCGAGTTAGAGCTCTGAATGACACTGCAACTTTTATGGGTACATGTGTCGCTTACCAGAGACGCACGGCATGCGACTTGTTGTTGTTCGTCGTTGTAGAGACACATTTAACATTGTAATCATTTTTCAGGTCTAGTATTGGTACGCGTCCCGTGCGCTATCAGTCGTCTGCCGTTCGCATAACTTGTGTAATCAAAAATGTAATTAATTGGGGTAAAATTATATGGTTTCCACGTGGAATGTCATTGTGTTATTAATTCGCCTTGAAGAAGACAAAAACTAAAGTCCCATCCTAAGGTCCCATTACTAGATTATACCAAAAAATGTTATTTAAAGTGTTAATGTTAATGTATACGCTTTTATTATAAGTCCCGTCGACATTATTTGTCATTTACGAGGTTTTAATTTAAACCTATATAAAATGCAAGTGAGCCAAAAATACAGATATAAAGAGTTATTTACATTTATTTATTAAACAGCTTTAGCGTACATCGATAAGAAAAATTGACGTTAGCGACCCATTTAGCTCTTATATGTACTTATGATATATTAGCGGTTGCGTTTTTGTGGCATTGTTATAAAACCTACATCTGTATTTACATTTACTACAAGTTCTATCGCCGGTCACTTTAAACACAAAGTAGCGCAAAAAGTAGAGAAAGTAGGTGCACCGGTAGATCGGCAGGGAGAGAGATCGTTGAGAGATGAATGTTGAATGTTTAATAAACGAAAAATTTACTGTACGGTTTTATTAAACAACCTGATATGATCTATAGATAGTGGTATAGATAGTATCTGCACGTTACAGTTACAGCTCGCTAATGAGTACCCGGCTTTACATGCAACGGTTACAGTTACAGCTCGCAGTGAGTACCCAGCTTTAGTTTGGATTGGTCGGGTAGAGGGTGAGATTGTTGCTACTTATTTTACATAAAACGACTGATAAACCTGAAACACCCAAAATTTACTAATAACCACCCCTGGAGCAATGATATCCATGTACTCCCCGGAGTTTCTTATTCGTTCTTCTTAGGTAATCTGCTTAACGAATAAGTTGGTAGTGACCCATCAATTTAAGAATTGGAAGATGATTGGAAGGGTAATTTGCTATCTCTATTTTAAGGCAGACCTTCCAAATGAATAGTAACATTTCGTATTCGTGGTAAAATAAAACCACGTGTGATCATGGGTCAAGAGACCGAAAGATAGACAGCGGTTTTTTTTTGATGAATTCGTATGAATTCCCATGCAGGTGGTCTGTAAGCTGCACGATACATGGCAAAGAGCGGTGCTATAAGATGCGTTGCGTCGGCGTAGCGACGCCTGAACGCTGAAGTTGTGTTACATATAAATTAGAACTACATGCCACATGGTGCATTGAACACGACAAAAGCGCGGTGGTATTTTTCACGTGGCGAAGTAACCTATTCAGTCCTAGGATTCAAAACCTCATCTCGATATCTCTTTGCAGCCACCTAATCCCTTGGGAGAACACGGTCAAATACCTAGGAATTACGCTTGATAGGAAGCTGTCATTCAAAGCACACGTGAATACCTTCTGCGATCGCGCCCACTTTGTCATGAGCCGCCTCCACACTCTTCTCAATTACAGCACATAGTTATAAAGTGAGATTATTCATTACTTGCATCTGCCCAATTATGACGTGCGCCAGTATCGTCTTCGCACAAGCGAGTCCCGCGCTCATCCACCGCCTACAGACTATTAAAATCAGATTCATGAGCAATGCGACTGATGCCCCGTGGTAGCCCTGTTGCGACACAACATTGCTCGTGCGGCATAATCAAAGAGTTGCAAAGACGGAACGCACTGGTAGCGCCCGTGTAGCATCGTTCTCGCACCGAACCACGTCGCGCGTCACTAATGTATCTAAAGGAAACAGCAATGCATACAATACAAAACAATCTTTATTCGTTAGTCACAAACATACTAACATTATTTTAATACGGCATACACAAACATTATTTTAATAACAAAACCTAACATTACTTAAGCATTGTTAAAAAAGAAACGATTTGAACGCGTGTCTTGCTTCCTCTGCCGTTATCACTAAATATTTTCGTACATACAGTTTAAATCACTCAAGGTATCTACGAAGTGGGGTACGAAAGGAGCCTCCACACACGATGTACCCTGGGCAACTCCATTCACCATGATGGCGGGCATTATAGTGTATGTCATCGATACAATAAAAAGAACAAGAAAGCAAAATATTATGATGAAACTTAAACTCGAAAAAGATTCACAATACATAATAATATGGATAATGTAGAAGTCTTGTCACAATAAACCCGTGAAGACGGACTTTGGGTATGTGAGTAGATGTACTATTCTTGACGTATATTATTCAGCACGCCAGAGAACAACTGCTCGTTTCTTGCAAGGACTATAAAGTGGAATGGATGATTTGCAATGAATTTTGCAACAGGTGGCACATCTTCATCGTTTGAGATCATATTGACGGTTGCTGCAGAGTAGAAAGAAAACATTTAAGCATTTAATTTAAGTATCTATATAATGCGACATAACAATTTCTCTGTTAAATTGTTGCAATTAAAAGATTGTAAAGTCTGTATCGATACTGGTTAAATGCAAACAGACGAAACATGTTTCGAAATAAAGAGCGAAAATAAGCGAGCTAGCACGACAATAGGCTACTTGCGCGAGAAGCAACAGAATCGTGAGAATAGTAATACTTATCTCACGTTTCCATGTCGCTTCTAGCGTCGTGCTAGTGCTGCCGACAAGGTAAAGGTCAAGATGGGTCCAACAAAGCCAATAGAAGACAAACATGGAAGGTATAACAAGGATAAGAGTACAGTAACAGAGATGTAGGTTTATAAATCAGGTATTCCATACGAGGACCATATCCTACGACCAATACCAAGAAAATATAAGGAAATTTTAGTTTATTTATTTACGAATTTATGCATTGATTAATTACTAGATTCAGGGAGGTATTACCTTACCTTTAACTGCCGCCAATGTGAGCATTACTGCGTTCAGGTTTAGAAGGGTAAGCATGCTGGTGAAATTACAAGCATATGGGACTTGTCAACTTATGTCTCACGGTGACGGGCATTGTGGAAGTGCTCATAGGACCTTTGCAATTTAAAGCTTTGAGTGGCACTGCAACTGTTATTGATAGGTATGTCGCTTAGCACCAGGGTCATGACTTGTTCATCCCGTCTCTTGGTGCCATAAAAAGTACAATATGAATGTAGATTAATTAGTGATTTTTAGTCAATTTGAAATATTTTATTTTGGATTATTCATCCGTATTGGTTAGTAAAACAAAGAAAAACTTACACACTAACGTTACAGGTCTGCCGCTTAACTTAGTCGGTTCCTGAGTTTTAAGTTTAAGGAAATTAACTTTCTTACACTAGCGTTAATGCACATTTATGAAAATGTAATTTATGTTACGAGGAATAGTAACTTCTTTATAAAAAATAGTGACAGACATAACATTAATACGAGGAATAAAAATAAGCTAGCTGTTCTTGATAGTCGTCTTCACAAAGTCACAAATTCACTTAAGGGGCAATGTATACGCTTCTATTACAAGATTCCGGTTGATATATAAAATTTGCCATACACGAAGTTTAAAATTATAGCAAAACTAAAACTTTATACTAAAGGCTATTATTCAACTTTTGCGTACTTGGATGACAAAAATCCGTGGTAGTAACCCGTTTAGCCCATGGAGGTAGTCTCGATTTCGGATGTTTGAAAACAAAAAATATAATAAAAATATGTTGTAAACGTTGAATGTACACAAATGTTATTTTACAAAGAGCAACCCCTAGAGTTTCTTGCTCATTCTTCTCAGGGGAATCTCCCTTTCGAATGAGCGGTATAGTTTAACAAATGTAACGATTTCAAGTGTAATTAATAATGCTTACCTATGAAATAAAGATTATTTTGATTATGTTTGGTTTTTGGTATTGAGGTAGCTTCGCTCTGCACCCGGGATAATTTCAACAAGAGTTTTCTGACGATATTCAATAACAAATTGATTAAAAAAGTGCCTACCTAACATCGAGTATATAATTAGAAATGAGGGCCATACATTTCTGGTAAGTCATCAGTGATACATCACTTATAAATATCAACTCTCGTTTGCACTGAAATAAAGACAGGCCAACAACTGACCTCTGTGTACGTCTCCGTATATTCCAAAATTATTCTGTATTTATTGTAATAAAGGCAATATCTCCAAGAATGGCGTGCTGTTCCATTCGGTGGAAAAAACAGCAAAACATCTAATTACAAAACAAACAAAACCAAATTTCATCCGTAATTAAATATGTAATTTTGTAATACTCGTCCATTATAACAAAGCTCAAGTTAACTCGGTCGATTTGAAGTGAAACATTTGACGACACCCATTGACGACACCCGTCAATTGTTTCAAATTCGGGCTAGCCAATCGGAGCACAGTTGTCACAGTAATGATATGGCAGAATAATTTTCAAACAAATGAATTAATGACATTTCGTCTCTATTTCTGGTTATATACTCGATGCTACCAAATTAGTCAGTCGTTGTTATGTGAAATATTCACAGAAGAAATATTTTGTTGATAATTTGGAACGAATAGACAAGCATTATAGCACTTTTTTCAATCGACTTGTTATAGAATATCATCAGAAAAATCTTGTTGAAATTACGTGTGCAGCGTTACAAAACTGTTATATAAACCGTCACTCCTTCTGCACCGCGCCTCTACCTCAGGAACAGACTTAGTTAAGAGGTAGGCATGTAGTAATTACACTTTATTACACTTTGTAGTGCCTGAGGGGCAGTGCTGCTGCGCCTGTCACCCTGAGACATAAGTACTTCCCTGGATACTAAAGTACACATGGAGTTCGCAATGATACCCAAAGTGTCGGTACCCCTGCCGCTCTCTGCGCATAAGGATGCGGCTCTCTGTCGCATGATAGCGGCAAAACATGTGCATTTTGAACGTTCCGGAAGGGCTACAGATAGGGAAACGGAAAAAGTATCGATACTTTTTAGTGTCAAGTACGTTTCTGTTAAATAGCAATGTTCATAATGTAATATAAAAAAAAAGCAAAGATGTAACACTATGTCAGTTTCCGGATCTATGGTCGAAGTGCATTGTGCGGTTGTATTTTGAGGTATTCCCAAATTAAAGAATAGTTAAAGTATATAAGTGTTTTACTTATATTCTAACAGTTTCCCTCCGATACCAATACGTTTGTACTTGATACTTTTCAGGTATTAGTACTTTTTGACAAGTATCGCATCGTTTCGAATAATTCCTACTTAGGACAGCTCATATCATAACGTAAGCGACCTAGAGATTTTTTTTTAACCAACTCTATCACAAATTACTTTGCTGTATATTGTATGCCACCATTAGCCTCTTTAAGCGAAGTTTGTCCCTTCTTCAGAACGTTTGTTCTCAAAAGCAGGCAATACAGTATCAAAAACGGGAAACAGACCGTCACCAAATAGATTTTTGTTTTTAAGTGATTGTACAGAGTGAGAAATTGGAAATATAAGTAACATAAATTATTTGAAATGACGATTGATTGAATTGGTCAATTAATTTAATTAATGAAATTCTTTCATTGTTTCAATTAAAAATCATAAATCAATAAAAAAAAAGACAAATTCATGTGTTTCATTCTGCCTTTAAGTAGGAAAAATCTGCAGGACAAAAGTATCCATACCTCGAGGTATCGATACTTTTATGAGTACGACACTTTTTATGCGATACTACATATGAGTACAGTATCGACACTTTTGATTCGATACTGTCCCTAGCTACAGAATCGCGGTATACCTAATGTTTGTGCTATTAAAAAATCAGGGACCCATTTCTGCTAATTTTCTTAAAACCACTGGTCATTGTAATTCCATGATTATATTGCAGTTATAATAATATTTGCTATTCTGCTAAAGTCTAGTTACAATGGCAGTTAAGTTTCAATAGAGTGTAAGTGGATGGCAGTGATTCATTAATTCGATAACTAGAGGTTGATGTGGCCTTACTAAAACTAACATGGAAATTACTATGCATATGTTAATTTTTCTCGCCGAATGCCGCGTTGCGTGGAGCGAGCTGCCCTGCCTCCCGCGAACTCCGTAGTCTAACATTTGTAACATGCCATATTTCCATAAACCCAAGTTTGTACAATACGTTACTTTCAAATTACAAGTCTTCATTGTACCAAACTGTGTTCTTCATTCCGAAAACCTTTAAATATGTCCTCAGCAAGCAAGATACCGGACAACTATTTAAAATAAATATGTATATATGTATAATATTAGTGCACTACGCCATCGACTCGCCATTGAAGAGCAGAATACCAAAAAATTGCAACGGCAGTTGTATAGTAACTCGATGGCTAATCATTGTCAAGCTTTTCTCTTAACTTTTAGCAAAATAACAAATGTACAAAATCCAGCCGTTGACACTCTACCGGCACACAACTGAGATGATTTAAAATTAGCAGTCTTGGAGCCCCAGTACAAGTGTATGCTTACTACTTGCTGAAGCAGCCATTGTCCCGTTTTCGTTGACTTGTATGACGGCAGTCTGGACCGCCTTTGAGACAAATATATCTTTATCCTTCACCATTTTATTCAAACCTTCGTGGAAAAGACTCTTTAGGCCAACCTGAAAAAACTTAATAATGTGCATGTGCTGGTGATTGTTCATGCTGTTGCTAGCTAGGCTCTATACTTTTGGACCACATGCCGTTCTTATCGTAAGTCGATCCTACTTGGGTTACCACTGTTGTCAAGGTGGTATCGAAATCGAGTTCTTAGGTTTTCGCGATTGTTACACATAGGAAATGAAAAAAAGTCATCAATATTAGACATAACTGGTTGAAGACTGTACCACCTCAGTCAACCGTGACCATGACCAACTGTAAAGGCCCGAAACGTCGGTTTGTTTGCATTGACTTACAAATAAATGGAAGACGGGTCTAATGCAAAAACCACGAAAAAAATGTCCCAAGTCAACCTATTTAAACGTAGTGACATGTAAAGGAATATGAAACAGCTAAAACGTTGAATTTAAATTGTAATGTCATCGCAGTACTGTCTAATTTTGCTTGCTTCACTGTTAGTCGAACAAGCGAAGACTAAAGCGTGAATGACGCTCTGTATACGATTTTAACACCCTATAAGTGCGAACACTTTTTGGCGCGGACCCGACCATATAATTGTAAGTCAATGTTTGTTTGAAAAAACAAATATACGCGATGTAAATCCGGAAAAATAGTTTCATTCCCTAAGGTGGTATTGATATCGATGGTGATATCGGCTTGAGACGATCATGTTTTGCCACATTTATCGCAAGCCTCGTTCGGGTGGCGCTCCATCATGGTCTCGGTTTCTAGTCGTTCGGCCGCGTCGAAGCGGATTCCAGAATCCAGCGGATTCTGGAATCCGCTGGATTCTGGAGTAATCTCGTTCTCCGTCCGGCATCAAACAGAAAAAATTACAATGGCAAGTATGAAGCTTCATTCACATCATGCGTATTTTAATTTGATCGTGTATTACATTACTTATTTGGCAGTAACTGTTTCGGACGGATGCGGACAGAGAACGTGAGTACAGGGTCTGACTTCGACCATTGACCTCGCTCAGTGCGTAAGATTGTCACATTATTATTTTAGTCGTACGTACAGGTTGTAAACATAACTCTAAAAATTAAGGTACTCATCACAGTGTTCTCGTGCTATATTGAAATAATCTTTATCAAATGCAGTACTTGAACAGTGATATTTCTCTTATCATTTCTTTGCGTTACTAAAACAATGAATTTATTTTCTTTCCTGTTAAAATCACTTATTTGTGGCAACGTAACTTGATAATAATAACTTGCCTTTTCATATTGTTCACCTAGATTGAAATTGGTGTAAATTTTAAACCTCGGTAAAGAGACATGGACACGGTGAATTTTCATACTTTTCAAAACGCTGTCAAGTACTGCCGGGGCTCCATTGATAGTTTCTAATAGTACTTCAAGAGCCTCAGAGCTATTTGATATGGGAAGAAATATTATCATTGTCATTCCTTCATAGCATAAATATGGTAATTGTATTACCTGGAAGCAGATGTAGATTAATTAATGTAACGAACTAATTTTGATAGCGTAGTGACCCAAAGTGGGTCGTGGCCTCCGACAACTGATGCCAAGTACGTACCTACTCCCGTTCTCCATGCGACATCCGTCAAAACGAAACATTAGTATTACTTATTTGACAATGTAATGGTTTCGGACGGATGTCGGAGAGTACGGGAGTAGACCTCCAGCACTGGCTTTCTAGGCTTCAACGCTCCGGTGGTACCTACCTGCTAACACAGTAAAATGTACCGTAGAAACCATAGATAATTTATAGAACCATCATCACAAAATATACAAGTTTTCAGGTAAAAACGTATCAGTTTTAAATATATCTAATTTAGACAGCGTTGTAACCATAAGGGTGAGACCAGTCGAGCGTAATTTTGTGACTTGTGAGTCGCGTTTTTTGAGTTTCGTAGTTTACGTTCCACAGAAATTCGTTTGTGTGCGCCAGACGAACATATTTTATTCAGTAGCTTTTAAGTTTGTACGGGGTGTCTGTATTATAGGTACAATGTAATGGATCCGTTAAACATAGTATGCATTCATGAAGTATTACATGATGTTAGAAAAAGAAAAAAGAAACTGGGTACATTCACTTAATATGTAAGAATAAAGTATAGTCAAATAACAGAAGTGTGGTAACTCCGTACAAAATAACAGCGCGGCTTTTCTTTAATATGGGAATCCATGCACGACCTCCGCGCGCCGTATACGGATGCACACATTCCCATAATATAGAAAGGCGCGTTGGGACCACCAGTGTTGTGCAATGCAAGTGCATCGTAAGATTATGCGAATGTGTGCGTCCGTACACGGCGCGCATTTGGCGTGCACACATACAAGCCACGCTACTACGTTTGTACGGAGTTACCATATTTGTCTTATTATATTTTGGTAGCAGTAGAGCTCCTTGTGACAGAGTTCGCCCAGGGAGGTACTGCAACCTTACCTATTTCTTCCGCCAAACAGTTATGTGAGCATTACTGCGTTCCGGTTTTGAAGGGTGCTGGTGAAATTACAGGCACTTGTCAATTTATATCTCGGAGTGACGGGCGCGGTATCACCGCCGCCGTGCCGCTCATATTTTTGCGATTTAAAGCTCTGAGTGCCACTACAACGGTTATGGGCAGACGTTGTGTGCATGCAGAATGTTATGTACACAAAGTTTCCCTCACCCCTCTCTCCACCCACAAAAGCACGCCACACAGTGCGATTGAAGTTTGGTCGTAATTACGCGCGTGAGTCGGCACACAAGTCATCTTGCGTCATAGTGTGACACAAACCGGATTTTTTTGTGAAAACGAATGCAGCGTAAATTAAGCGACTCAGAAAACACGCTCACAACTCACAAAATTACGCTCGTCTGGCCTCACCCTAACTTGAAATTTGATCAAAAAGTAGTAGATATATTGTCTCAAAAAATACATAAAATATATAGAAATTTTACCACCGGAAGTACCTACCGCCTTGTATATAACATTATGGTATTTAATAAAATATTGAGTGCTTTTTCTGATTAAGAATAATTGGGAAAGTAATTAGGACTATAATTAAACAAGCCACCCACGTATGATATTCTTATTTTTATAAGATAGAAATTTAAATTGTATACTTATATCTTCTTATAATAAAAAAAAACTCTTTTCTGTGAAGCAATCAATTTTATACATAAGGTAAATTGCCAGATCTTGAGTTAACTTCTGTTTGTTATTATATGAAACGTGAATAATTTCGTTGTATCTAGTCGTATTAACATCCGAGCGTCTACTCCCGTCCGAAACAATTACTGTCAAATCAAAAGCAGAGAACAAAAACGTAACGAAAACGGACACTCTCCGCCCCTCCCTAGCTTTAGATACCGCACCACACCCCGCACATTGACTGAACAACAACAAGGCTGTCGGCGAGTCGTTTTTGCGATAAGACGGCTTTGATATATGAATATAGTTTTCATTTATTCATTACGAAATTTGTAAGTTAATATATATAACATGATTTAACGTTGCTATTTATAATGGTCGTGAATTGTAGTTTATTAAAACGGGATAAAAAGAGGAGTTTCTTTCGTTTCTTTCGTTCAAAATCTTATGTCTGAGATTCATTTAGTTATCGTTTTCTTCAATTATATGGCGCAAAGTAATAAATAATACAGATTTATTATTATATCAATGTAATAATAAGACGCCATAACTTCGTGAGCTAGTAGACAAGGGTTCTCGAATTTTCAGTTTGTATTGCCGATAAATATTACGTAGTGAGTATACCTAATTATTGACTAGATAATGATAAACATGGACACGCAATTTCAAATACCTGTGTTACCTTATCTAAAAGCACCTGTCCAAAATATAACATTTTATGTGCTTTTAATATATTTTTTAAATAAATCTTCAATATTATTCTAGTCAATGAATTAATGAAAAATATAAGATTATATCGATTTAAATACCTAATGAATATGTGTAATTATTAGGATTCTATTAATAGAATTATAGATAACAGATTCGCGTTACAATTTTCTCTATGTTGCCGCTCTGACCACGCAACGTAATAGTACGAGAAAGTGATGGGTAACCCTATCACTTCGCGCACACATTTGCGCGTGTGTAGATAGCGCCTTGGTGTATGTATTAGTAATAGGTAAATAACTTGCGACTGTTGTATGGAGTGTCCCTATCTACTAACCCGAGAGACAGGGTTTTCCAGAGAGACTACGGGATCGACGGCAAGACCTGGGTACAGCGGGCGTCCGGTTCAAGCCCTCCGCCAGTGATACCATCTCTAGCGGAACCGGACTAGGGTATGGACTCGCTGGGGTTTGTGGTTAACTGCAGAGACGGACATGTTTGTCTGCCCCAGTTGCATGTGACCGGGGCGTCTGTCTCGTGAGCAGCTAGCGCGTCTCACAGGGCACGTGAGTTGCCCTTTAAGTTGGAAGCTATGTCCGACCATTGTCACAGGTCACTGCGACTAGCATCTCCAGCACTAACCCGGAGAGCTAGTAGAGGATAAGCTAGACATCCTCCGGTCCCTCCAGCCGCTTAGGTTATTGTGAACTGGAGAGACGTCGTTTTTCGGCGTCGGGAAGTGAGCGTGCCTTACAGCTCCACGACCAATGAGGAGATTTGGTAGTGAACTCAGAGTCGACGGCTTAGCGGTGGCAACCGCTAGTTGTGCATTGCGCAACGGGAAGTGAGCGTGCTTACAGCTCCGGTACCTATCTGGAAAATAGGGAGGGTACTGTACACTAGCCTCTCAAAGAACCGGATGAAGTCTAGTGACAGAGATCTGTGACAACCCTGTACACTGGCAGATCTGGGGTCAGAACCTGAACTTGTAAGGTTCCTGTACGCGCACAGGTCATAGTGCCCTTCTCGTATCAGGGCAGGTATGGAGGGTCAGGATATGGGGCTGTTGTATTGAGTATGCGGAGTGTGTCAAAAGGCAATGTCAAAAGTGTATCACTTATTTGACAGTAATTGTTACGAACGGATGATTGATGATGATGACGAGTGACTGAACGAGACAGGTAGACCCTCAGAGTGCGATCGTATGGCAGTAAACAAAGAAAAAAAATTTGTTGTAAGAACCTGTGCTTTTAAAAATTTGCTTTCGTAATAAAAGAAGTCGGCTACAGTCAGCATCATGTTTACTTGTTGCGGTCCTCCTTGAGCGTAAAAAACTTCCTTTTGTGTTTTCTCAAACGGAAATCTCCATTGACCCTAAAATTTTAAGAAATATATTACATTTTATTCGATTTTTTTCGTCGTAATTAATAGCTAAGTGTAAAAAAAACCAGTTGAGTGTCTATACATCCTCAAATGGTTTTGGTTGATTCCGCATAAGTGTTGAATCAATCACTTTAGAAAAAATATGTAGAATAATTGAGGATATACGAGTACACTGATTAGTATACGGTGTGAAAATACGATTCGTAAAAATTTTCACGATAGCAAAAAAACACAAACGTACCTCGTAAAATTTCAAGAAAATCGCTGTATTTAATAGGTACTTTACTTAATGATTTTTTATATCAATTGAGCCCACATAATTTTTGTTTTTTCAAAAATTTACTCAAATATAAAATAATAATGTACTTTAGTGTCATCCAAAATAATATTTAAAAAAACAATGAAATGTGGGTTACACCACATTTGCGCTGATAGCCTCAATTGAACTAAATAGAACACGTATAATAATAATAATAATAATAATAACGCACACACTCAACATAGCCCCGCACTAGGGAAACCCTGTGTCGCGGGTGCCATGGACACACACATAGACAACCACAAATTACACCCAAACTCACGAGAGAAATAATTGTAGGCCATACAAATATTTCTCCCGGCCCGGGAATCGAACCTGGGACCTCTGCGTGGCAGTCCGGTATGGTAACCGTTCGGCCACGGAGGCAGTTGATATAGTACGCGATATACATTTTTGAAATGGCTTTAATATCGTTTGTAAAGAAATAAATTCTGAAATAACGCCTAAGTCCCTGCCGCTTGAACCGCGCAATAGAACCGATTCAGTACGAGGAAAATTTAAATTCGAGGTAAGGTAGTATAGACTGTTAACGTTTTGTAATAATAAGTTGTGATACAATGAATGCGTGCTGTTGTGGCAATTCAGAAACTGGGTCCCTGAATGTTTCTCAAAGGTAAATTTAACCAACTTACATTTCTTAGACTCCAGGGTCGTTTTTTTTATAAAAAAATAGTGACTGTCATATACCATACAATATTAATTACTAAAAGGAATAAACATAAATTGTTGTTGTTTTTTACATTATTTCCGTAAAGGAAAAGGCAAAGGTTTAAAACATTGACTTACAATTATATGGACGTCGGATCCGCGCTAAAAAGTGTCCGAACTTATAGGGCGTTAAAATCGTATACAGAGCGTCATTAACGCTCTAGTCTTCGTTTGTTCGACTGACAGCGAAGCAAGCAAAATTAGACAGTACTGCGATGACATTACAATTTAAATTCAACGTTTTAGCGTTTTCATATTCAGCAAAATTAGACAGTACTGCGATGACATTACAATTTAAATTCAACGTTTTAGCTTTTTCATATTCCTTTAAATGTCTCTACGTTTAAATAGGTTGACTTGGGACATTTTTTTCGTGGTTTTTGTATTAGACCCGTCGTCCATTTATTTGTAAGTCAATGGTTTAAAAGCATACAGTCTGGTCTTGGTGATTTTTTTTTTGATAAATAAGCATACGTCAAGTCTTCAGTCTATTACTTATTTTATAGGCATCTAGCCTCGTCTTCGGTGGGTCATTCGGGCCAATCGGAGGGCAGTTGTCGCCGTATTGATTTGGCAGAATAGTTTTCAAACAAATTAAATGACATTTCGTCTCTATTTCTGGTTAGTTTGTAGAGATTATCGAGTATATCGATAATCGATACAAACTACATATCATCGCCTTACCTTCTCAAACTCGTATATTAAAGCACAACGTTACTGAAATGCAAAAAATGGATTATAATACAAAGTTTGCAGGCAGATTTCACACCACATTTCCTTCATATTCACACACTGGCTTTTATCTATTCTTAAAGTAATGCACCCAAATTAACACCCTTGATAAAAAATTTAAAATAAATGGAAAGTTTTGCCATCTCATAAATAATCGATAAGATACGAGTTTGAGAAAGAAGGCTTGTGCGTATTTCTTACCGAAAAGTAAACGGCGTTGACCAATACGATTTTTGCGTCTGGTGTCAATGCAGATTCTTTTATTACTTTATGGATAGTGTCATTTGTTTGTTTCGAGACCTAAAAATAAACACACAGGCACAGATTTAAGATTTCAATTCAATTGTATGCCGCTTTCATTGTGAACATTCGAGAGTCAAAAGTGTCAAGCTTTATGTGCTCTTCTTTGTGTGACTGTACCTGGTACCTCACTCTCAACTCTCGTTCTTTGTCCGACATCTGTCCGAAACAATAAGCGTCATATCGTCGCTTAAATGCTAAACGGCTGCATGTCCAAAAGAGGCGATCATAATTTTTTTTACAGAGAGGCGATCAGTTGTCGACATCATATTTTAAAATTTTAATACTGTACTTAATAAATTTACTTATTAAATTGGTATGTAGCTGAAGCAACTGTTCCGGATTCCAATATAGTTATATAAAGGCACATGGGACTTGTCATCGGGTGCCAGGCACAGTGGCAGTGCCTCCAAAATCTTTGCGGTTTAAAGCTCTGAGTGGCACGGCAACTGTCATGGACTTTTTGTTCTGTCACTTGATATCATAAAAACATGCTATCAGATTATGAATAATAGTTCTAATATTGCGGTCATAAAGTTATTCTTACACCACTTCAAGTGTTGTCCGAATTAATTGACTTACCCATTTGTTTATTATTTTAGCCGCTTTTGCAGGATCACTAAAATTTAAACTCCCGACACCTGCGCCGAAAATTTCAATAGCATCATCCGTGAACTTGTTCTGGATCTCATACTTGTCGTTGACATATATAACGCTATAGATGTTAATCGTAACATTGGCCATACGAAGTAATTGATTTATCACGTATTTGAAGTGCAATTTTGTCTGTGAAATTATAACGTCGGTGAAATCAGAACTTTATAGAGGTATAAAATTTATTTAATAAGTATAGTCAAGAGTATTAGGCTGCCTTTCCACCAGAGATGTGCGAGGTTGCGAGGCGGTGCGAGGATGTGTAGCGGCGTTGTGAAACGGTATGATATTTTCCACCAAAGCTCTGCGAGGTAGGTAGGCGGTGAGATGTGCAGCGGCGCGGTGCGAGGATGTATTACGGACTTTTCAGCCATGCGCGGGCGGTGTACGGTGAGGTGGGGTAAGCGGTGGCGTTGTGTCAGTGTCATTTGTGTCATACTTTCAGCAGCTTTAATTTCCTACATAGTTTTGCACACATTTCTCCCTCGCATCTCTCGCACACATCTCTCGCTATTGTACAAGCACAAATACTTAGCTCCGCTAATCCTTTTCCACCGGAGCTGCGCTAAGCGAGGCTAGGGGAATGAATTAATCCTATTGGTGGATTTTTTCTCGCACACCGCCCCGCTACCTCGCACATCTCTGGTGGAAAGGCAGCCTTACTCTGATTTTTGGCGGTTCTTGTAGTGAATGGCATAGAGTTGAATGTTAGGCTGCATAAATCTTGCCTAAATCGTAAGTGTCAAGCGTGACGTACATTCTATAAGTTACTGGGCAACAGTACAAGGTCTTCTGGAAAAGAAGTGAATTTGACATGAAGGTAGTGTATGTGGTGAAATCGCAATTATAAGTAACAGATAATTATAATATAATTATCATATAAAATCTTGAAAAACGTCATGATAATTTCGAGCCATGTATATAACAATAATATTAGGTATTAAATGTTCTCATAAAAGAAAGTTTCTATAGATGTCAATTGAATATCGGATAAATGAGAACAAAAAAATAATCAAGAAACTGCAGTATTTACTAGGTAACCAAGGGCTCTAGATCGCCAAGCTCCCACCCGTTACAAATTAGATTTTTATATAAAAAGCAATTAATCATTGCTTATTAATGATAATTATCACTTCGAACCTTGCTATTATATGAAGTAACATGCGCATTAAAACACAACGTAATTTAACTTAAAAAAAACTATACGACCTCTTAAATTGAAGTGGGCAGGGCTTTGTAGAAAGAAAAATGATCGGTGGACAGAGAGAGTAACTGAGTGGATGCCAAGAAACGACACAAGATGTAAAGGTCAGCCGAGGAAAAGATGGGAAGACACTTTTATAGAGAAAGCAGGACCACAATGGATGATGAAAGCCAGTGACAGGAAGTTATGGAAGACAATAGGGGAGGCTTACGCCGAGGAGGCGACTACCAGTGTTGCTAGCTAATAAGGTAAATCTATATAATAGTGTAACGCATGATATATAAAAGTAACTTATAGTATTTATATGCAACTAGTAATAATTGTAAATATCAACTAACACCAGTAGTAATAATGGCTTATTTAATTTTATTTCATTTACGTAATTTAACTGAAATAAATGTAGTAAGCGGTAATTATTCGCGCAACACAGTATGTAAAAAAATTTATGGACTTTAAATTATAACGAATTCAGTATTTTCTATTTTTATTCTAATTTTTACCGCATTATCATACTCTTGTATAATTGTTATCAACTTATGACGATCCTTGATGGAGAATGATATTTGATATGTAATTTAATGACAACAATATTATATAATGAATTGTTAATTTTCTAATTATTGTGTGCTTTTCTTATAATTTTCCTTTTTGTCTGACGATCTCAATATAATTTCTTATACTTTGACATGTAGTGCAATTTATACTGTAATGTTATATTTGAGAAATAAATGAATCTGAATCTATGTTTTCACCATATTATGGTACCTACTGAAGAACTTTCATTTTAGAACCGAGTATAAAGTTTCCAATACATATTATCTCATTATTTCCTTTGCATTTTTGTGCGGAACAAATTTTACGGACTTTTCCCTTTGGGTCACGGTGACAAAGTTTTTTTCTTATTTTCGTGTACACTTGAGACTCTACAATATTCTAATTTATAGTTTTTACACAAACCTCATTTAAGTTGTTGGTGCCGAGAGTAACGAGTAGCTCTTGGAGAGTGTTGTTCGAGGCTCCAAGTACCAGCTTGCCCAAAGGCATCAGCGCAGACAGTGGGGAACATACTGTATTGTTCCTGATGCGTTGAAGGATCAAAGACTGAAAATACATAATTTATTATAAT